AGGAAATTTATAAAGACCTTTTAACTAGAAGCAAGCAATCTAAAATTACATACTTTTTTCAAAAGGTAAAGCATGGATCTGAAGATAATGCAGAAAAATGCTCAGAGGATAAGGATAACTTGCCAAAAAGAAAATGCTCTCGGTTAATAGTGCTTTTAGTGATGACAAAGAAAACATTGTTTAATTTATATTAATATGTATCACTTAAGAAAATTTTAATAAAGATATTTATCTTAATTATGAAAATATAGTAGCATGTTTTTTTAATTTTTGGAACCTAACCCTCCTTTTCGTACTAGTTCTTTGTTTCGCATAACACGGCAATTTTTTTGGAACGTAACTACAGTGTTATACGAGGGTTACCTGTATTTTGAAAATCTAATAACAAAAAAATGATATTTTTATGAACGTCTGATTTCAAATTTAATAATTAGCTTGTAAGATTCCTAGAGTCAAGCCAAGCATATTTTTCAGATTTGTTTATATTAAATTTTGGTCACTCAATTTCATCATAAAACTTACTGCAACATAAGTCACAATTTTGCTTATTAAATATTGCAAAAGTAAAGATTGAAACTACGAACTTTCGTGGCTTGGATATTTAATTTTGGCTTCTCTTTTGACCACGGGGAATTCAGAATGAAAATATTCTTTTTGAAATTCCAAAAAATCGACAGACTAATTTTATTAAATTATTAAAACCTTGGAATTCAAGATTTGTTTCGCACATTTCATTAAATATTTTGACTCGTCTGTCGGCTACGTCGATTGTTTTTTCATTCCATTTTGTCAAGTTTTTGTTAATTAATGCCATTGATCGAGTTGTTGAATTTTGTCTGTTTCCATTCGTGTAATATGTTCCTTAAATTTGACGAAACTACGGTGGGTGATGGGTTAACGAACGTAATTCGTCCAAGGCCACGTTCTCTCTCTGAATTTTTTGTTAACTGATTATTGATTTGTCGTAGATTTTTGTGGATATTTGATTAATTCGTTCCGGTTACCCCAAAAAACAGATAAAGAATTATATGCTTTCTTACTACATTTTTTTACGTAACAAAATAACAAAGTAAAAGCAATCGCTCCATTTTTTCACGGATGGCGCATCTTTGTTTTTCAGACGCTATTTTCATTACTCCGTTATCTGCTCGAGTCTTTTTGATTACGTCTTTCTTAACTGAGATGGTATCTACTGTAGACCCGTCCAAGTCGTCCGCCTACAATATCGGACATCTTCCGCCCACTCTGTACCTTGGCTATTATCTCTCGCTTAGTTTCTATAGCGAACGCAGTTATCGACACTCCACTCTTTTCAGGGCGCATAATATTATCAGTTTTTAAATAAAAAGTTCAGAAGAGCGCTTACAAAAATTCAGAAAACAGAAATTAACTAGTGCAAAAAAGGTTATGTATACATAAATATTATAAAGTCTCTGTAAATCCGCACGAAAAATATATAAATTTTCGGTTTAGCGGTAGACCATCACACAGCAGATATCTAGAATAATATTTATTATAGTAGTTTAGAAATACGACCATAGACAATCAGAAAACGTTACTAAATACACTTGATATGAAAGTGCTAATGAAATGTGAATCCAAGCTGTGTACCTAAATGGTAATGAAAAACTAAAATATTAATTGTTACATTGGTAGTTTTACTCGCATAAGGTTTATTATAATATTTATATTTTGTAGTACTGAAGAGGGTTCTTTAATAGGACCGAAATGCATTACAGTGATTAAATAAAGAGAAGTAATTAGCTATCTACTGTGTGATGGTCTACCGCTAAACCGAAAATTTATATATTTTTCGTGCGGATTTACAGAGACTTTATAATATTTATATATAAACAGCAGTCATAAGAAATTTAATTAAAAGTTATGTATACAACTGTGAAAGTGTCATTCCGTAAACCACGTATAGATGCCATTAAAATATAGTTTTACAAATCTTAAATGCCTTGGTTATCGCAACGTAAAAATCTTTGGCGAAAGCGTTGGCCGTTCGATTTGTTCGCAGTCCGAACCGTTCGTTAACCCATCACCCGCCGTATTCTTTAAGCTATATTTTATGCCATTTGTTTTTCAGTATTATCTATTCAAATTTTTGACTCTTACCGACGCGGAATAAGCATTTTCTAATAAATCAAAATTTGAAATACAATATACAAATATGTTTTAATATACAAACTGGAGAGCCGACTTTCTCGATTTTCAAAAAAAAACAGGCTAGGATCAAAGAAACTCCTTATAGAGAGAATACGTTGGTTTGAAGTTCTCTTACAACCCGATAAAAATCAAATATACGAGATAAAATTAGAGAAGATGAAAGAGGATTTAAAACAATGTTAGGCGAGAGATGTGGAACGTAGCCGATAAAAGAAGGAACGGGTAAAAATGCGCGAGTTTATTCAGTTCCATCGTCGCTTGGTAGACGACAAAGGCGTAACGTCTGGTACTTTTTTTCTATCATTCGATAACGTTTGATCAGCGACAGATATTTGGTAATATCTATACATTTTTAAATAACGGTAAATAACAACGCGCATATTTTTGAAAATATTTATATCGCAAAATATTATTAAAAATACCTACGCGATATAAAGTACAAACAAAGATTTTCTACGGTATTTTATAGAATTTATATTTATTACGCTTACTTGGAAGCAAAGAAAAAAAATGGATATCGAGGAGAAAGAATATTTTTGCTCGGGAGTAAACATTTTAGAGAAAAAATTTAATTCATTTTCTGTCAAATTGTCGTAGGTAATTTAAAAATAAATAAATATTAACTTTAAAATAAACTGGTTAGTAAATGTCATATTTAATAGATTATTTCGGAACTATTTTAATCATCCTCTAGCGCTCGAATAATAAATATATCTACTGGATACAATGTAATTTGCATTTTTGATTAAATAAATATAGCGAATAGTAACGCTTTTATTGGATCGTAAGTATTTTACAATAACGGATCCGAATAACACGTACGGTACATTGACGAAATCGCTTTACATTTCAGAAAATTTGCGCATTCCGCCGATATTTACAGACACATATCGACCGTCGAAGACAATAACATTTTAAAATTTACACCAATTCAGAACGATGCCGAAGGATACTTCTGTCAGTATTTAGCGGCGGTATTAAGAAAGATGTCGTCCAGAAAGAGAAATTTGGCCATTTATCAGATCAACGAAATTCTTTTCAATCTGGCAGAAGACGATTAAACGGTTTCCAAACTCCAGAAATATGTCGTCGTCGTCGTCGTTGTTGTTGTAATTATATCATTTTTTCAAACTTAATTAAAATATCTACAATAATTTAGAGGATATCCCAAATTCGTGTCAATTTTAGGTGAGTTTCTTTAACATTTTTAAAAATTAAGTTAATTACTATTAAAACATCTTACGATTATTATAAATCTTTTTTTTTTCTAGTTTGGACAAAACAAATCCATTTTACAAGTAATTATAAAACTGTGACGAGAGATTGGTTTTTATAAGGACGAAAATTAGTTGGAGCGTGTTTCCGTATAATTTAATAAATGTTTTACCATCGAACGACTAAGCCGTTTGTGGTGAAGAACACTTTATTAAATAGAGAAGAATTAGTGACGGCTGCGTAATTATCCGGACGGTTTTTAGAGACAATCATTCACCCATCGTCGTCCGCAGACCATTGTATATCGGAAGTTATTTTCCGGGTTTATTAACCCGCGTGGTAAATAAAACGTATTACTTAGCGACTCGTCGATAGTTTAGAATTTCACAATTATTTACCATCGATTAGACGTTAACTTCTTAACGAAAGCGCTGGGGGAAAAAGTATTCCAAGAATTTATTTTAAAAGTAAGTCTTCGACGGCAATGGTAAAATTTGAAAATCTGTTCTATAATTTATTACATTTTATATTACTATATTAAATATAAGAACGCGATTAATTAAAATTCATAAAATATAAAATAATGCGCGAGATAGAATGAAAAGGTAACTGGAAATATCATCTAATAATAATAATGTACATTACTTATAGGCAGTCTTCGGTTAACACATTTTACCGACTGCCAACAATTCTTGTACTGTCTTCGATGTAACAAAGATGACTAAGGCAGATCCTTTCCGGCTTTTCTTTATCGGTCTCAACAGCGTTTATTCCCAGTCTTCGATTTTTCGAAAGAATCATTTATTAAACCCTTCGTTATCGTCGTGGCAAACGGAAGATGCGCCAAGAAGCTAACGATTGGTACGTAGACCAGGGTTTTGTTTTAAATGTTTGGATTTTCGTTTCACGGTGCAAATGTAATAGCGTAGTTTATCGAGTGAAAAATCTATACGCGCAGTTTTGCTTACGTTCTTTGAAAATAGCGTATTAGCCAAAGTTTACCTTTTTCGAAATAGTCTTCTTTGTTCCGTATAAGCATTCTCCGACGTTCCAATAACTTTTATAAAATAGCGCTACGTTTCCAGTTTCGTAAATAAGCTGGCTTCTTTTATCGTTAGTCTTCTCTTTATTGTCAGTCAAACGAATGGCGTAGAGAATAAGAGCATTGTATAAACGCTAACGAAATACTTTTGTAGTAGTAATTGCCATAACCATTGTTTTTAAACGCTGGCGCTAGATATAAACTTTTTTCTAATGCTTATTCTTTGAGCATTTAAATCTCCAAAGACACTTTTTTAATAAGTAATAACCAAAAAAAAAAAAAACCTAAAGTAAAATTTTAAGCGGCGCGTGTTCGTTTCCAATTCTGCAAATGTTTCACGCGCGTAAATAATTATAATTATTAATCGTTAAAATGGCCTTTATGTACCGTTTTCGGTCCAAAGAGTCGTTTTTATATCGTTTCTTAATAATTTTAATTAAAATTTTCAGCGAGAAAAATTATTTCGGTAGCTTTCCCATCCTATCTTATTAAAATTGAATAATTAGAAAAAACAGTAAAATCCCTTTATCCCGCTGGGAAAAATGCCCCGCGCGTCGTTAGCGCATTTAAATTAAGGATTAAATCTACGTCTATAAATTGTTAGACAAAAACTAATTTGACTATAAACTTATTTTAGAATTTGCTTGGTAATTGTTTCTCTATTTAAAAAATTTTGTCTTGTAAATTCTGTATTTATAGCGCGTACTGGGTGGCCCAAAAATCAGTTGTCGGAAACATTTTAAAGAGGATTGTTGTTAATTATAATTGGTGTTTTGGCCATTTCCAGCCGAGTGATCGAATCGGGAATAACGCCGGGCTATTTCAATCTAGTTTTAATTGTTAAATCCGTATGGGTTAACTGATTTTAAAGTTTGACTGGCCAAGTTTATCTAATTTCCATCCAATCGGACAGAATTACGTTATTTTGATACTAATCGTCATTAGCGTAATTCTAGTTATTCTTTTGCTGCCAGATATTTACCTAATTTGAGACTTTGTTTTCCGTGTACGTAAGCAAACTTTTGGTTTGGAAATGTGGGTCTACGTCGACGCAAAGAATAGTCGTTCGTTCCGGCGTAGTATTTCGTACGTCGTTCGTCGTTCTAACGTTGTATTACTTCGAACCTCGGTAAACGAATTAATTATACGCTTTTAATCGAAGCGGAATTAAATTCTGGATAAATAAAAGCAGATATTTTTTCCTTTAATGTATTTTAAATGTTTTTAATTAATAAACAGTGCCAAAGCTTATCGGATCGTTGTCCGGACGCACGTTATTTATACGAATGAGTAATGTACTACGTACTTTAAGATTATTGTTTGTTAGTTAATTCGTTTGTTTGTGTACACTCGCGTACATTTTACACCTTACCAGGCAACTGGCACAATAAATATTGTTATAAATAATAATTGTAATTTAAGTCGTTGTAATTTTTTATGATCGTTATTAAATCTTTTTAATTTTGAATTTACGCACGTATGTGTTTAAGCCGTACCTTTTAAAGCGTCCTCCTTATTTCCGCGCATTAAATATCCGATTTACGTCGCGTAAACTGTTTCTATTATATAAAATGGAAGGTAAATTGAATTTGCTTCGACGGATGAGATTGAATTTACGGAACTGCTCGAGACGCGAATGCGGGGTCTCGGAGGTTTTATCGAATTCCGTAAAATCTCCCGCGCGTTTGCCTAAATCTACGCGTTTCGTCTGCGTAAATTACGTATAGAGTGGCCGTGGGTGAATGGCGGGTAAGTCGCGAGATCCGACCCGGAAAAGTCCGTGGTATGGCTATAGGTTATTCTATATCCGGTGGCCAAACTGTGGGTCGTCGGCCGTCCGCGGCTCCCAAATACAATTTCTTTTTACGAATTTCGTACCGTTTATACGCGTATAATATTTTTGTACGTTTTCTGATATTACGTAGCGTAAAATACGCAGAAATTGTAAGCGAAACTGGCAACTTAACCTCGAACAGAAAACTGAAAGGTTAGGTCGTATTCGGTGGGAGTTAAATGGTTACCGGTTAAATAAAGTAACAGTGACGATTATATTACATACGCGGCACGGCTGTATATAATATATCGTATAAATACGACGGTACTTTTTTTAATGTTTAAGTTCGGTAGTATTACGAATCGTTTTTATTCTTTGTCCGGCGTTATATCGAAATATTCTCGATTGCTCCTGGCAGTTTCCGGCATCTTCGGAAGAAGGAATCGAGGTTCGAACGTGCGAATGTTAAGACCGATTGCTCGGAAACGAAAAAGAAAACTAAAAATAGACGTACGGAATTGGATCTGCCGGCAAAAATCTATTCCGCTGTCTTTTAAAATTTAAATTCAAAATATTTCGAAACGATCGAAAATATTTTTAATTGTCGGAGCGAGGCGAAGCCGAGTGACGACTAACGCTCGACTTCTGTCATTCCTCGTCAACATTATAACTCTAGAACGAGTTGTCCGATCTGGACGAAATTTTCCAGGACGAACCGATTAAAATTTCAACTCTCAAAGACGATCCGTACCGAAGAGAAACGCCACCTTGGTTTCGACCCCTATCCGCGGTTCTACAAAAATTGACCATTTTTTAGAGTTGAAATTTTAATCGGTTCGTCCTGGAGTGACGGCGAGTCGTCCTGGAAAATTTCGTCCAGATCGGACAACTCGTTCTAGAGTTATAATCGGAGCCGTAACTAGGCGGGTGCAACGGGTGCACCCGCGCAGGGTCCACTCGGAAGGGGGACCCAAACTGCCGTTGGCGAGAAATTATGTTTTTAAATTTTAAGTTTTTCCGCCTTTCTACGGCGCGGTTTGGCCGTTACATTTCGCCTTACTTAGACCCTAGATGTCCGCTCACCGGTGTTCCCAACCGCGGCGACTTTTACAGGGACGTAGCGAGATAGCGGACACCTCGGACAAATCGGCCAAAAGTAGCGACTTTTGATATTTTTTAATTTATTTTTTGACAAATGTAAATTTATGTTTATAGTTTTCAAATTTTTCTCTACTTTATAGAGCTCTCTGGCAACTACTATTATTATTACGATATACAAAACTGTATTTCTAGATTTTTGTACAGCGCGCGGAGCTAGAAATCTGTAAAGGTAACATTTTGTAACAAAAATAAATCTGCCAGGGGATTTTTTTAAAATTACTAAATCGAAAACGGTAACTCCCGAATAAAATCTTAGTCTCGAGGTTGTAAAAGGCGCGCAGAAATTCTGACATCAATTTTTGCTTTATAGTGGTACGCGTACGCGGTGTATACCCGAACGGCGGATTAAGCGGTAAGCCAACTACGCGGGCGCGTAGGCCCGAAGGGACTGGCGCAATCTTTAAAATGCTACCGAAAAATCGCGATCCCCTTTTTCGCAGTACTTCCATGTATCTATATATATGGAAGCGTGTTTTTTTTTGGACTATTTCTTAGTCCAAAAAAAAACGCTTCGATATATATAGATACACGGAAGTAATAAATGATATAGCTTTATGGCCAACAATATTAACAGATGCCGTTATCGATCATATTCTTAAAACAAACCAAAAAGTATAGAAAAGGGATTTCTTAATAAACGAAAAAAAAAGAAAAAGAGTTAAGATAATGGAAATAGATAAAACACCAGATGAAGGAAGTAACTCGACACCCGAAAAATTTTTTAAAATACAAATTTACAGCGTTGTCGACACTCTATTGTGTCAAATAGATGGGCCTTACGAAAAAATGAAAACTATTTGCGACGATTTTTGCCTTCTCCGTGGCCCGTCTTTACAATACACGAGCGTCGCCGATTCAAAAAATCGGCTGCGGATCTCGCTATTAAATACAGCAAAGATTTAAAAAAGTACGAATTGGCCAGTGAAATTGAAAGTTTTAATTTTGAAGTAACGACTCTTATCTATATATATAAAAATGAATGTATGTGTGTGTGTGTGTGTGTGTGTGTCTGTCTGTCTGTCCTTCATGCATTACCACACCGTTTATCCGATTGCCGTGAAACTTTGGGAAGTTGTTAATATACTCCGGCGAAGGTTTGTGGCATAGTACATTTATCCTACGATAGATGGCGCGCGTTTACACGAGCATTCGAGCACAGTGTGTCCGATCGATTTCAAATTGTGAAGACCATTTCTCCCTTCAAAAAATATTTCTATATATGCATTTGTGAACTGTTATTTACGATATTCGTAATAATGTTTGTTTAATCACTTTATTTCAACTTTTTTTTG